CCTCTGATTTTTCCATTCTTCGAATCAGATCTTTATTCTTGACCTTTCGACCATGGCAGCGACCCAATCACACGCCACATATCCCACTCCCGGTAACGTCACTGACCCATTTTCGAAAAAAGCCTAGCTTTCTTTCCCAGATTCCGCGTAAATTGGCTCCCTTTACGTCGATCTTTGTTTTTGCGGTGGAAAGAGTTCTCACTTTTTCTGTGATTCGTTGTTGAATCAAGTGAAGACGAGATTTTTCCTGCCGATTCTTGTTTGTTTACGTGTTAGGGTTTGTGGGTCTTCTGAACTTCGCGTTCTTTTTACTGTTCTTGTGAATTTGCTGTTATTAGATCATAATTACGTTAGAAGTTCGATCCTCTTTTGTCAACATTTGGGATCTGGGCTCTTCCTATATTGATGGCTATGGATTTGTTGCACAAGAGAATTACTTCCGGTCTTGCGTTTCAGCTGGAAACATTAAGTTATGTTCACAACTCTGCCGATGCTCCGAGTGAATCTGCTTGATCGAACTCATTCTGGTTTGGCATTTGTTTGTTGAGATTGTCGCTTTAGGCATTAAGATCTGCTTTGTTTGATATCTTTGCTTCCTGAACTTACATTGTCATGGCTCTACGTAAGGATCTTTGTGTTTATCGTTTCCATGTATGACTTATTCAGTTTGTTTATTGTGAATGCAGAAGAGCAACCTGCTGATCTGGAAATAATGGAGGAGGAGGAGGTAGTTGATATGTTATTCTGACATTCTTTACAGTAAGAGTGAAGATTTTAGAGAAAAAAATGTTCATATTGGATCTTTTTGGCATACTGCTCCGGTGAAAAACGAGACTTCGGCCTTGTTAAACTCCTCGTAGGACTCTGCAGCTGTAGTCAATCCAGGCAAACCTGTGCAATCATATGGTCCTTATGGTTTCACAGGTGATTTTACTGGACAAACACTTATCTAAAACCAATCTTCCCTAGTCGCAAGCTTCTAGTATCGAGGGTTTTTGGTTCATAAATCTCTAAAGTTTGGATCACATTTCAGAGTGTATTTTCTAATGTCATGGGTTTGATCTTTGATGCATTGGTTGTTTTGCTGCTTTTATTGTCCATCCAGGGTATAACTTTTGTTTTATAAGTAATAAATTTTGAAACCATTTCAGGTTATCGGTGAATGGGATGAATACTCTCCTTACATCACTGGTGAAGGATTGGATATCACATCTCCTGTGAGTATACCTTCTGTTTCTGATATTTTCATACAAGGTTTTTAATGTGCAATGTCCTTATCTTCTCTCCAATCATTCGTTTTCTTTCTTTGGTATGTACAAAACCAGGGTGCCTTCAATGAAAATCCTTCTCTCGTCTTCCATACCGGGTATGGATACAACCCTTAAATTCAGTATGAACCATATTCCCCTGCTGCAACTCCCATACCCTTTGTAGCTGGAGACAGTCAGCTGTATTCTCAAATACAGCAGTACCCTTTCTCGGGTCATTCACCATACTACCAGCAGGTAGTTCCTCCTAGCATGAATATATTACTTCTCCAACTCCGGTTTCTCAGCCAGAGCTCACCCACTACCAAAAAACACGTGATTTTCAATGGATTTTTTCAACGGATTTATCCGTTGAAAATTTTTCAACGAAATTTCAACGAATTTCAATGACATTTCAATGATAAAATCCGTTAAAATTTTGTTGATAATTTCAATGGACTAGCGTTGAAAATTTCGTTGAAACATTTCAACGAAATTCCAATGAATTTCGGTTGAAAAATTCAATTGATTTCGGTTGTAAATATCGGTTGAAATTTTCAACAGAATTTCAACGGATATCGGTTGAAAAATGATATTTCAATGGAAATCCGTTGCAATTTTCAACGGATTTCGGTTGAAAAAATCGGTTGAAATTTTTTACGAAATTTAGAAGAATTTTGGTTGAAAAAATCGGTTGAACTTTTCAACGGATTTTGTTTGGAAAATCGATTGTTCATATATATAAATAATATTTTATGTATACGTTATATGTTTAAACATGTATATATATAAATATAAATATTGATACATATAAATATGTATATATTGTATATATATATATGTATTTTATACTATAGTGATATGTTAGATACTGTATATATATATTATATATATATATACGAATAAACATTTATACATATATTTACGTATAAAATATTTTTATGTGTATATATATGTATAATTATTTATACGTATATATATAAATGTTTATACTTGTATACACATATGTATAAGTATTTATATATATATATGTATAAGTATATATATGTGTTTAAGTATTTATACATACTAACATTTGTATATGTATATGTATTAATGTTCTATTATATCAGAAATTTAACTTGGAACAGTTGGAAGTGTGTTAATCAGAACTATACAGTTAAGCGTGCTCGTGCTGGAGCAGTGGAAGGATGAGTGACCTACTGGGAAGCGGATTTCGAATTTCAATTTCAGAGTTTCCGAAGTCAAAGTTCAGATTAAGTCGGATTCGGGTTAAAGGTCGAGGTCAAGTCAGAGTCGAGACAGTATGAGTTCGGGATCGAGAATACGTTTTAAAATTTTTATGAAATTTTCAACGGATTTCGGTTGTAAAATCCGTTGAAATTATCAACGAATTTCGGTTGAAAAATCCGTTGAAAAAATTCAACGGATAATTCCGTTGAAATTTCGTTGATATTTTCAACGGTTTTCAACGGAATAATTTTTTAAACGACGATATTGTAACGAAATTTATCCGTTGAAAATCCTTCAACGGATTTTAGGTCATTTTCAACGGATTTATCCGTTGAAATTGGTATGTTTTTTTGTAGTGACCAGCATTGTGGGTGTTGACCAACAAGGTGATAACATGCCTGTGGGAACTCGGCCAACCTACCATCCTCATACAATCAGACCATTTAATGGAAACCAGGGAAGCATCGGTTTCCCTGAGTGGCAACAAGGGTTTGATGGTAGAATATGGTCAGATTGGTCCAAGCATAGACCTATGGCTCCTGTATCGCCAGCAGTATCTCCTCAGCCAATTGGGCAGCTTGGATCATTTGGGCAGAACATTCCCATGGTTTGTTCAGTTCTTTAATCTGTTTTTGTGTCAGTTTCTGTGTTGTACCTTCCACTGTAAATGACATCTTAGAACTTTGATGAAGTGGACACCGTTGGTTTAACCTTGATAATTGCGTGTGGAACTCAACATCGTTTGTGGGTTTCGTCTTTAGTGTGGTTTGTCTTATAATTAACATCTGGTTTCTTTTCCTTTTTATTTTTCAGGGTTCACAGCGACAAAGATCGTTTTATGGGTTTGGATCAGGATCAAACTCTTACTACAGAGGTTATATGAATAGTGGTGGTCAGGGCCAGGGTTCTAACTATGGAAGCACACATGTTTCTAATGCGGGCAACAGAGGCTGGGTTGGGGTCGATAACACTCGAGGCCGTGGAAGGGTCGCCGATTCTTCTTCCTTTTGCGGTGGCTGCAATGGTCCTTTCGGTATCCTTAATGAGCAAAACCGAGGGCCTAGAGCCTTGAAGCCCAAGGCTCAGATAACAGGGGAGCATGGTTCTTCTGCTAATTCCAAGAAAATAAACAAAGATGGATCCTACAACAAGGATGACTTTGTCACGGATTATGACGATGCTAAGTTCTTCATCATCAAATCCTATAGTGATGACAATGTTCACAAGAGTATCAAATACAATGTCTGGGCTAGCACCTCTAATGGAAACAAAAAGCTTGATGTCATGTATCGTGAAGCTAAGGAAAAGCAAGAATCATGCCCAGTATTTCTTCTCTTCTCTGTAAGGATCTAATCCCAGAAAGTGAAAAATAGAAATATCTGTTTATTTTTCTGGTTCTTTTTCGTGTTTTCATGTGTTCTCTTCATAGAAACTTACGAGCTGTTAACTGCAGGTAAATGCGAGTGCTCAGTTCTGTGGGGTGGCTGAGATGGATGGACCGGTTGACTTCGAGAAGAGCGTGGATTACTGACAACAAGATAAATGGAGTGGTCAGTTTCCTGTGAAGTGGCATATCATCAAAGATGTTCCGAATAGCCATTTCCGTCACATAATCTTGGAAAACAACGACAATAAGCCCGTCACCAATAATAGAGATACCCAAGAGGTTGTAGCATTTATCTCTCTCGGGTGAATGCCACTGTCCCAGATCATAACCTAATACACATGCAATATCGCAGGTGAAACTGGAGCAGGGCATCGAGATGCTGAAGATTTTCAGTAGCTATGATGCTGAGACATCCATCTTGGATGATTTCGACTTTTACGAAGAACGAGAGAAAATAATACATGAAAAGGAAGGCAAGACGACAAGAAGCAAACTTGAAAACTGCAGGAGAAAATGACGAGAAGCCAGCTTCAGGTGTATTACCGGACGATTTCATCAAGAACATGCCCAAAAGCTTTGCCTAGGTTGTTCGAGTGGATGAGGAGGTCAATGAAGGAGGCAAAGCCAATTCATCACAAGAGTCAGTAACAGCCATTCCCTCTGGTCAATCCAACTGAAGTAAGACTTTGCATATCGAACTCTTCTTAATCCATAGCTCTTTGTTCTAAGAAAGTGTCTGAATGTAAAGTAAGGCCCCTCTGCTCTTTGCTGCTTTCAGGGCTTTAGCATGTTGATTCATTTCCCTCTTTTCGGGTCTCTGTTTTGTTTTTTTTTTGTTCCTTCCTCTAAAAAAAGTGTATGTAGTGTAAAGTTAGCCCTCCCTCTTTGGAGGCAGTTTAATAAAGACAAAAAATATCACCAAGAGTGAGAAGCGTTCAGCTTATCAGAACTCTTTGTTTGTTCTTCTTTGTTTTTTATTTTTGTTTTTCTTCCTTTTGTGATGGAGTTCCATACTCCTGCATATTTTTCATTACCAGGACATGACTCTTGTTCTGTTATCCCTATCTCGATTATGAAGGAATATGGTTGTAATGAACCTTGAAAGAATAAAAAAAGAATACATTTTTTTGGTGTAAACCCATGTGAATTTTGGAAGGGATAATGAAAAATTGCATCTTCAGAGAAATCCACAAATATTATTTTTTATACAAGTGAAGGCAGGTCTTGGTTGTGTATTCAGTGGCAGGCAAATCTTACAAGTAACTGATGAGAAGCTCAGATAAGGACAGTGGGATTAGGAGAAGCGAAAGCAAGCAAGTCTTGATCTTGTTCGAAAGCTGACATGTCTTGTTCAATTAGGCTAACAAATGCTTCAATTCCTTCACCATCCTTTGCATCCATCAGTATTACGCCGACGTCGTCAATCTTTCTTGGGTAAACAGCTCCCGGGACTACCCATTCGGGATTTCCCCATCCAAAATCCGCCTCGTAAAACTTCATTCCGCACCAACTGGTTATGTTGTATACATCCACTTCTCCCGTTATCTCTTTCGTGTAATTCACCATCTCATTCCTCATCTTCTCCCCGAGCCTGACGCCCCCGAGATTCTCTTTGATCATCTCATTCACTCCCTCTTTAGCTTTCCTCGAATTAGCAACGATTTCTTGGATCTCAATCTTTTCCTCTGGACCCGCCTTCAGAAAAAACGCAAATACGAGGTTTCCTATTGTGTTGTGTGGCAAATGAGTGGACGGGATTCTACGCCTCAAGTCCATGGCCTGCGTCATGACCAATGGCGTTGTCTTGCCCGAAACCTTCCTCGCACATCTCCAGACAAGCCCTGAGATGGCTTCAACACATGTTGGGTTCGACACTTGTATGCTTGCCGCTCTCTTCTTCAGTTCTACAATCTTCGAAGCATCGAAAACGAACCTTTTCTTGACACAGGGTTTTCCCACATCGAAGATTTCATCACTGATCGGGGAATCGAGAGAAGGGTCGGGAGTGGGGAAGAAAGTCGGGGCTGCGAATTCAGGACTCGCTGAATCGGAATGCCCTTTCGCCGTAGAGGTCCAACCATGGATGAACATTGCAAGCGAGGCAGCGTCGCAAACCTTGTGAGAAACGCAGACAGAAACCGCCATTCCTCTGGATCTAAAGAGGGTGAGTTTGACATGCAACAGTGGCCATTTCTCGGGAGGGTCTCCTGACGTTGTGAAATCAGAAGGAAGGAATTGCTTTACAGAATCGAGATTAGGGTTTCTCAGAAAATCCGAAAGAAGGCAATCGGTTTTTGCCTGTGTGAAGACGACCCCTTCGTCGTTGCAATTGATGGATGCTCCTCGGATGCGGCCGGAGAGAGGGTAGAATCGGTTTAGAGTGAGGGAGAGAGATTTCTTGAGTGTCAAGGCAGCGATCTCTTCTTCCGTATTGTAGAAGAAAACAGCAGCCACGTAAACAGGAGGAACCAAGTGACCAGAGAGGGGAAGTTGAGCGGTCCGAAGATGCTCGGATGTTGGTGAAGCCGGTTTTATCACTTCTTCCCCGACGATCTCCAGTTTCATTGTGGCGAATTAGCTGTAATGAGTTGTATTACTGACAGAGAACCTTTTAAGAGGTGGTCGGTTTGATGAAAATTATATAATTATTTGAGGACACAGACAAATATCTAGCTTTTGGTATCTCCATTTTTCTCTACCGTCGGAATCTTTTAGTTAACACTCTATCTTCGCACACAAATAAAGAATGAAAATTACATTGTTTTTAGTATCTATCTCGTCAACAGAAAAATCTCGGCAT